GTGTGTGTGTGTGTGTGTGTGTGTGTGTGTGTGTGTGTGTGTGTGTGATCGATGGTGAGGAAGTGAGTGACAACACCGTTTTATAGATGTACTCAGCCTGGATCAGAATGGGTGGTGATGGTGGGGGTTTAAACAGCCCACAGAGCCTTTTGTCAAGTGCCCCATCTGTAGCCACTGCATGTAGTGAAGCAATAGATTAGCACTTTATTTCTCCAACCTGCTCTGCCGCCCTCATTCCTCTGTTAGAGTTGTACCGTATGTGTCTTGAGCAGGACCTCCACACAGCTGCTGCACATGCAATTAACCCAGAAACCCACAGGGAGACTTCCTTTCAATACTTTCACGACTGCGTAACGGATCGAAGCAGACAGCAGATCACTGTTTTAGAGTTGAAGGCTAATTGTCAATGTATCCGCTATCCAGGCATATCCTTTCGATTTGATTCAAATATATCACCTGCATCTGTTTGATTGATGAGTACATTACAGACACATGGCCTGGCTGTTGTCTTCATGGTTATATAATGTACGCTTAACGTAATCATGATTATTACACGATCATTGGTTTTAGCAGTGGTGATATATAGGTCAAAGGCCAATTTCATAAAAAAAACTAATTCAGACTAGTCATGAGCCAAGCCTTTGAACCTCAGCTGCTCCCCTGGTGTGAACTCAATGACTTCCCATTGGTGTGACTTTGTTCATTTTGATTTCTTTACCATGCTTCCACATTGAAGCAAGTTGTAGATAGAGCAATTGTGTTGCTGATAATCGCTTCTGTAAAGAATATGGACGACCGATAAGTGCTTTAGGTTGCTGTCACAACACACGTTTTTATTTTTCTGCAACTACACTCCTGGGATAGCCACATTCCTCTTTGTTGTAATATCTTTAATTAGGAAGAGTTTCAAAATGTATTCCTCTCTTTCATAAAGAATGCATGAGACCCTGGCCTCTTTGTCATTAATAAAACATTGAGTATGTAGATCAGAGGGGGTGATGTGCTATTTAAGACTATGTGACAATGTTGCTCCTGTGTGCGTTACGTTCTCTTTTTAAAAAGGCAGAATTTATTATTTCTAGTTCTAGGCACCAGGTTGGCTCTGTGAGTACACCACTTGAGGCAGGTTTTTTTTAATAGCTTCCATACTAATGTTAAGCAGAGAAACAAGTCTGAACATGAGGGAAGTAACCAGTTTGAATTTGTATACAAGACTAATGGGGTTGGCTCAAAGGTTCGCAGTGAAAGAAGGCTTGTATTGAGAGCTTCTATGTGGTTTTTGTCAGCGTAAACGATCGCTGGTCAAACGGCTATAATAATCCCGCCCCATCAACTGAGAGCCCTACATATCCACTCAGCAGCGGACAGTTAGCAGTTTGCCTCTGCTTTGCATTCGAGTGGTTTGCCTGTGTCCACATGCCGGTGACTGTGATGGCTCCTGGCCAGCACTGAGACAGAGTCGAACAGACGCCAACAATATAATGAATGATGTCACGATAAAACTGACAGCTGAGCCGGAACAACAGGCTTCATTTTTGGCTCGCTGTAGTTTTGGTGACAGGCTGCCCAGAGACTGAAGGGATTTTCCGCCGCACTTACTGCTGATCTTGCCATTGAAAGAGGGATGAGGCCCTTTGGCTGATTTCCCACTGTTGGAATTTCAAGCACAGCTCTGAGGGTTACTCTCCGCAATATCAGGGGATGTTTGACATTTAATTCCTGAGAATCTTTCCACATGTTTTAGCAGTATGGATTCAAAAGTCGGATGCTGAGTCTTTCGTAACTGTTGGTCCCATATGGCTCTTTGGTTAATCGGTCAGCTGACATCTCAATCCTACACACAATTTTGCTCTTCTATAAAACCAGGATTATTTATTTTTTTATCATTGATGTGATTCTACAGGAAACATCTTCAGCATGTATCACACATTTTCTAGCAGTCAGACAACATTTGTATCTAAAATATACTGCAAAGGGATCAGATACACTACAAGCCAGTAGAAGCGTCTTCGTCTTCCTTTTTGGTTGGTTCGTCTTGTGAATATGAGCTGGACACAAAATTAGAGCTGGGCACAGTGTTGGCATGGAGTTAAAAATGAGTTTCTTGGGCCTTGATTATGAATTAAATGTGTATGTCACCATAGCAACATTGAAGGTGACGAGAAAAGGCAGCTCGTGGGACGATGGCTCAGTCTCAACTTGAAGTAGTTTGAGGATATAGTCGATTCTTCTGTTTTTAAATATTCATGTCCTGTGCACATTTGAAGACAAACGGACATAATTTTCCTTTTTTTTTCTCCGTCTTGACATTTTGTATTCATGCGCTGTGGATGCGTAGCATCAGCAGGACACCAGAAAGTCATTAAAGCTTGTTCACCCATTGGTGTTTGGCCTTTAATAAAGGTCCTTATTGCTTAATACCACACCACCTTTTCTGTGCCGTGTGTGTATTTTTGTCTCTAGTTTAAAAATAACAAAAAAACAATTTCCTCTTACCCGTGAGTTGTCTCTGAGACACCGTTTGATGCTTGATGCAACGATCACTTCGGAGGAGTTTGTTCATACTTTTTTCGCCTCTCTCTTTATTACCTAAATTAAACGTGTCTCCAGTGCTTCCTGTTAATCGGAAAGCTGCAAACAGGGTTTTAATAGGTGGTCGGAGAAAAAAAGCAACTTTCAATGTTGCTTACCTGCTTGTTGCAGAACCACCTTTTACAGATTTGCAGATTATATTTTCAATACACACACATACGCTGACTGCTGTTATATTCCAGGGATTTAATAAAAAAAAACTAAAAAAACAGACTTTTGTTATGGGAGCACCTACCGACTTATGCTTCTGAGGCACATATTCATTTAGAGATTTCTCTCTTTCCTCCCTGGAGTTGTTTTTTGCAGCTGGTCTTTTATTTGCATACTGTATATGTTTTAGTTTGTCTTAATCGTGACACCATTACTAGAACTTCTCATTTAAAAAGAGTTGTTATGATTCAAGTAATTGTTTACCTATCTGACTGTCTTCCCTTCCCTCTCTTATAGAGTGTGCCCACCTGCTACTGGCCCACAATGCACCAGTGAAGGTGAAGAACGCACAGGGATGGAGTCCCCTTGCTGAGGCCATCAGCTACGGAGATCGACAAATGAGTGAGTATCCGACTGACTGAGAGGCACTGCTCGGCAATACACTGAAACCCCACCGCCGCTGCTACACACTGAGTTGATGTTGGTCAGTAGGCATATTTACGAACATCGATGTGGCTTCAATAAGGTTTCAGTTTGGCATTTCCAGTGTGAAAACCAAACAGTGACGGGGGTGAGAATAGATCCGATCAACAGTCCACGGCACCGGCTCCAAGAGAGGCCATGATGCTGGTCTGCTTACTTTGTCCCTCAGAGAGAGAGAGGGAACATTCCTCAAGGCCCTCTGGCTTTTGTGCTTCGATGAAAGGCAATTCATTAGATGTTTCTCTCTCCCCTCATAGGACGATTATGCACAAGCTCCCGTCTCTCCCATGTTTTCGCCCACAGTTCATAGTTGCTCAAACTTTGATTTAAAAACGCTTTGAATGTTTTAAAAGACTCATTTTAATTTGATGTATCCATGTCAGCCTCTAAAAAAACATGAATGTGAAACCAATCAAGTTTGGTCAGAATTACATTTTTAACATATTGAATATTTAACTTCTGCAAGCGCATTTCCTAAAATGTGCTGCTTTGAAAGCACACCTCATCAGTCTAGCAGTTATCCCCTTTTCTGTAATACACCTTTAAGACTATATTGTTTTTCTATATCTCAAACCCTACTTTTATGTGATAGGTGCATTTAGTCCACTATCTATTTAAAGCTCTTGATACTCTTCTCATGGTAACAGGAAGGCCTGAGGTTTTCTTCTGTGTGGTGGAGCTCTCTAGCAGTGGTGAGGATCAGAATAAGAATGTCTCAAACTGAACAACTGAACTGAACAATACCACTGCTCCAAAACTACCGCCAGACTGAGTTGGCAAAGGGCAACGGAAACCAGAACGCTACTCGCCTAGTGTCAAAACATTTTGCATAAGCAATACGACTATGATAAACCTCGAAGGCAGAATGCAGTTGAAGTTTCTCAAAAAGACTTTCAAGTAGAAATCCACCAGAATGAAATAGTTGGGGCTTATTAGCGCTGCCACTTGGCACCACCATTGAGCAGACTAAAGTGTCTCCTTTGACTGCATCCTCTAACTCTCTAATGCCACTTACCGTACCTTAACAGGTTTACAAGTGTCTCTATTGACTGAAGCCTGTAATGAACTCTGTAGCACTATTTTACTTTACCATTGACGCGTCCTCACCTCGTCTAGCATGTACCATGCCGCTACATGACTTATTGTGTTTAACTTGCGGTTGCTACAGTCACCATTGCTCTTGCACGCTGAATACAGCATGTTTGCTTCTGGTGTCTGAATATTGTCAAAAGACATTCTGGGAAAAACAGAAAATCTCTTGACTGAAGTTATGTAGAAGATGAGACAGGTTGAGGGAAAGTGGTTGTAATATAAAAGTAATGCACAGCACTTCATAACTAAAAACTAGTGCAACAAAGTGTTGCATCAAGAATATATAAGGTTTTTCTTTCAAGTAAGAGGCATGAAAGTACATTGTTTACTGTGGGATCAGTATGTGTGACAAAATAATCTCAACTCAAAGTACACTTATCAGCTTTTTTAAGTCTTCCAAACACATCATACGTTCTTCGTCAGCAAATGTGAACTAAATAAGGGATTGAAACTACGAGGTCATGAAAAAAGCCCCTCTTACCTTGCTCAAACTGGACTTCCTGGATCACATTTCACTATCTCACTTATACCTGATGCGACAAGCCCCAAACGCAGCCCCCTGAATCGTTTTAGGGCAGACTTCAGTCTGAATGCCCAACAAACGCTGTCTTTTAAAAATGGTAGAAGTTATTTTTTTCATTGTCAGAGCAACTTTGGTACTAGACAAATGTGCACCATGCGAGGGACCAAAGTAGGAGGGATTTGAAGACCTCTATGGAATGGCGTTCAAGGAAAGAGGAATTTCACCAGGACTGTACCTGCTTTTCCTGGAAGGGGCCCAGGGAGAGGAGTTTGTAGGCCAGAGCGATGTCGGAGATAAGTAGATAGGCACCTGCTAGCAGACAGGTACACAAGGTCGGTCTGCTGATTATCTGAAGCAAAATAATCTGCCACTGAGAACTGTTGTTGTTGTTTAACCCTCTTTAACTGTTTGTGTTCTTTAATGTCGGTCCAAACCACAGGGCAGGGCCAAAGGGCTGAGCCTGAACACTGTTAAACAATCATACTGGGCCTTCCACATACAGAATTCCACCTGGTTGCCACGATTGCATTAAAGGAGAAAGGTGCTGTAGGAAACTGACTGTTGTAAAGCGCAACAAATGTTGAGTCCCTCACTGGCTTACTCACCAGCAGAGCTCCACCTAGCAGTTATCAGTAAGAGCTGAGTCAGTGCATGTCAGGAGTCTGTGAGGGAAGTGGAGACCTAAGAGCTTTGTTTGTCTGATTTACAGTAAGGCATATGTCCTGAAAACTGGTTACATCATTTAATGTAGTTATAGAGGTCTGGTTCTCCATAAAGTCAGTTTGTCAATTAAATATCGCCCAGGCTGAAGCCGAAGTAAATTATTTTTCCTTCCCTAATAAAGCAGCTTATGAATTTAATCAAACATTAAGAGGTCGCCCTCCTGTGTGTTATCTCCAGTTAATATGGCCCTTTTTGAGTCTTTTTAGATTTCTTGTAAAAATTGATTGAAAATGCTTCAGTACGTGTACCGGTAGTTATTTTTAACTTAATTCAGATTGGACTGTTTGCTGCCTACATTACATTACAGGCATTTAGCAGACGCTTTTATCCAAAGCGACTTACAGCAGATAGTCCTGACTGTCTCTCTTCATTAATGTGTGGAGGTGAAATTATTGAGATCACTCGTCTAATTAACGCCAGTAAAGAGCCCTAATTAGTGTCTCAGTGAATTAACTCCAGCGTGGAGAGTCAGTTTGGTTTAGTGTTAAAGAGGTCGACATTGGTTTGTCGGCCTCTGTTGGCCGGGTGGTCTGTGAGCAGATGGTGAGATTCTACTTTTTTTGCTTGTCCCGCTGAGAGGCAACGAGGATCAGGAGGAGCCCCATCCAGAGCTTGTCCACACTCATTAGGCAGCCGGACCTCAAAGACACCTCGTCCTTTACTCGTGTCTGTGTCAATTGGCACGTGTGTCATCAAGTGTATTAGTGTGTATGTGTGTGTATTGCATGCCTGTCCCGCGCTCTCGTTTGACCATCGAGCCCTCCACACTGCCATGTTGGGATTATCAATAAGACAATATGTAGGACATGTTAGTGTATTGACTCAGCACATGGAGCACAGGAGTTACTTAGGCTGATGTTAATGCCATATGTCCTCTATTGCTTTTCGTCTTATTAAAATGTAGGGCAGTCTGGGTGTTTTATTACTCTTTCCATTAGTTTACAAGTGGCACAGTCATGTCGTCAATGTCGTGCTTCATTAAAGCACCACAATTATGTGCTCACATTCCCGTTGTGAACAGTAAATAACGTTTATGTTTGCTGGTTGGATGTGTCTGTGTTTCTCTTAATCCTCTAAAGTCTCTGCAGCCAGAGGGCTGAAGATCTGTGAATGCTTGTTAGTGTGAGTATGTCTCTACCCCGGGTTGTCATGGTGGTTAAATGTGCAGCTGATTTATAGGGAGCTCCATACCTGCCAGGCTTGTTGCCTTTGCCCTTTATCGCCCTTCCTGGAAACGTTTTGATCCCTGCAGGCAGTGTCGAGGGATTGGCCCGATGCTGCTGGGAGTGTCCCATCTGGCCCCGGAAAGTCAGCGGATCTCTAAGCTAAAAGCCGTCGTTACTGTAAACTGCTGATATTTGCCTTTAGCATGTCACATTGCTGACTGGGTATGCATAGCAAGACAATTCCTGAGATGATGCTGGTGACTCACAGTAGATTCACGCAGGCATAAACGTAAGCCTTTACTTTCCTGAACAGTGCTACATTAAGGCAGCATTCATTTTTGTCACCTTAAAATGGTGTTATGAACATTATATTTACTTTCTCTTTTCTTTCCTCAGTCAACTAATCATGATTAAGGAGAAGCTGTCTTGCATGCCATGTAAAGAATGATGCCAAAACAAGAGAAATATGGTAGAAAAACTAGTTTTTGAATACAGTGAATAAATGTTCTTGGAGCAAGTTAAGTGGTGGGATCGAATTCCATGAAAGCAAAAGGTTATTCGAAAGAATTCACAGTCAGCCGTTATGGGAACAAATAACATTCCTCCAGTACACTTCTTTTACAATTTTCTGTGCTGAAAAATCTCTTAAGCCATTGCTCTTTTTCTACGCTGTGAAAATATGCCTCTTTATTGATGCTTTTTGTCTCACTCGTGCTTCTGTTCTTCTCTTTTTCTTTTTGTCTTCCAGTCACAGCGCTGTTGAGGAAGCTGAAGCAACAGTCCAGGGAGACTGTGGAGGACAAGAGACCCAAGCTGCTGAAAGCCCTGAAAGAAGTAAGTCCGTACTCAGTTTTCTGCTCCTGATGTCTGGACGCTGTTTCTTTGTTTCTGCTCATCGGGTCTTTTTTACTTTTCATTCTGCTCCCCCTCTTGTTGTCCTTTTTCATCTCGTCTTGCTCGTCATCTCAACAAAGCAAAGCCAGGAGCCACACACAAATGCACATTATCGACTAGTCAGACTCTAAGACGTGGTGTTAAACATTGTGTTTAACACCAATGTTTTTGTGGCTGTCTGGTATGATGTCATATGTTCTCTCACACACACACACACACACACACACACACACACACACTCTGTCAACATTTTGTCATGTACAGAAAGATATGTATGCTTTTCTGCCTTTCTGTTTTGTTGTTGCTGCCTAACATGTAGTTATGGAGTACATAATCGTTTGGCGATTTTAGCTTTAGACGTGGTTTTGTGATTTGTTGTGGATGGACATAAAGCCTCATATTTAAGTCCATGTAAACTGAAAGTCTTTGATACACCATTTTTATTTCTACTCTGCAAACATGTCTTGTTAATTGTTTGTACGATTGGTCAAGTTTCTAATTTTTCATCGTTTTTGTTGCATGCAAATGAAATGCATCTTTTGCTTCTAACAATATATAGCATACGAATGGCCCCGTGTTTCCATCTTTTCCACTGGTGTAGTTTCACTTGTGATTGAGATGTATTTGTCTTCATTTCCAGCTCGGAGACTTTTACTTGGAGCTTCACTGGGACTTCCAAAGCTGGGGTGAGTCAAGCCGCACCCTCTGCTTCTTACAATAGTCGCAGAAAACATCATTGTTTCACAGACGCTATCCACTCTGGAAATTTACCGTTCGGAAGAATGTGTCATGACAGGAAAATGTGACTAACTGTCTGGTTAGTGAGTGTTAATCTCTGCCATAAGGGACATTAGCTGAAAATGACTTCCCCTACTGGACATGAATTGACAGAACATCCTGTAATGTTAACATCCATCCTTTTGTTGTTATATCAGGACTATGTGCTTATAGCAGAAGCAGAATTGGGCCTCCAGCTGCACTGAATTTACACATTGACCTGATAATCTGTTACAGAAAGCAGATGGAATATACAGAGTGACTAAATGCATCTGCTGGAGGAGGTGTAGCAGCGTTTTGCTTAGTCAGGACAAGGCTGGCCTCAGATTGTGAGCCAGGACTGAATTCTGTGTACTCACTGTGTCTGTGTGAATTATTGACAAGGTGGACACGGTTATGTAATGGACGCACAAGGGTAACTCAATGTACACTGGTTGCGTAACAGTGTATTTGTAATGGAATTTGTGTAGAAAGTAAATTATTTGTAGGTTAGAGAGATTAAGATTTATGTGCTTAGAGAAGCATCTGGTTTAAAACCAACACAGTCACAGATCTGAGACCGTCGCAGGGATTTGTTTTTGAATGCGGCCCTTCACGGAATCATTTTGGACTGTTAAAATACCTCTGGCATTTTACGCAATGATAGAACAGCGAGGAAAGTGTCTGTCTTTCATGCTCATGCTACTGAGGCCTTGAGCAGGATGATGATGATAGTCTTTGCTGTTGAGTGAGCTTTCTAAATTCAGACGTTGTTTTCCATGTCCTCACTGTTTCTTGTCATGTTGCAGTGCCTTTGCTCTCCAGAATCCTACCTTCAGATGCATGTAAGATCTACAAGCAGGGCCTCAACATCAGGCACGTCCCGTCAATATATGTATTGTATGTATGTTTAAAAAGTGTGATGTTTGAAGACGAACAAAGAGAACTCAACAGCTGCTTTGGAAACATGGAAACCACATCATATTAAACAGTATATTTTTGAGACAACCTTTTATCAAGGTACTCTATTACTTTTGAGTCTTACTACTTCATCTGCTAAAAACAACCTCTCCCCTATTTCTCCTCTCTCCTTTCTCTCTACCTCCGTTTTCTCCCCTCAACCTAATTTGGTTAACTAGATTGGGTATATGTGGAAACTAGACAGGGATGCCTATGACCACTGATCTTTTACTTCTGTTTTTTCAATTAATGTCAGGGGCCTCATAGAAAGGAGAGTTACAGTAATGTGCTGCCGAGCTCGCTTACAAAGGGCACCAGCCAAAATTTGTCAGTCTGAAGCTGACACAAAATCACATCAATGAATCTACAGCAGGAATCCACCATGTTGTGTTTTATGGTCTTGTGGGCAGAAATCTAACACCAGGCAGCGTTCAACAGCCCTGAGGTTCAGCACAGCAACACTCGGGTTCCAGTTTTATTACTCAGTCATATCGTAGACAAACCCTGGCAGCCCTTTATTCAGCACATGCAGATGCTTCTGTATCTGTGTATCATAACATATCAACTACTTCTATTTGAAGAATGAACTCTGCAGATAAAAGTGTGTTTGAGCATCTGCAAGCTGGAGCGTGTCATTGTTCTCTGAAACTGATCCTGGCTGTCTAATTTGGTATTCAAAATGCCCTCTTATTATCCTGGAGTTGCAGGGAGAGAGACAAAGGGGGAGAGAGAGTGAAAGGAAAAAACTGTCACAGCAAGTTCATTTACATTCTAGTGCTTAGGTGTGTCAGGCCTGTCGTATACCTACCCATAGCACCTACCACGTTGTGTCTGGTCTTCAAAAACAGATCAGCTGTTCTCTTTGCTGGCTAATTCCATGACCACTCACTTTGACAAAGTGGAAAAATTGGCGATAATTACCATACACATTGTTTCTAAACTCTCAGAGCAAAGGTGTGACATCCATCACAGTTTTTTCTTTTCGTGTACAGTTTTGACACTGTGTTTGCTGACGTGTTGGTGGTGGCCAAAGTGAATCTCAGTGCAGCTCTTTTGCCGTCATCCTCTCGTTTCCTTGTTTGTCTGTCTTCTCCTTTCATGTATCTAAAGTTCCCACACTAAACCTGCTCTCTGTATGTGAATATATATGTGTGTGCGTGTTGTTGAGTGTAGATTGGACACTACCTTGATCGACTTCACGGACATGAAGTGTCAACGCGGGGACCTCAGTTTCATCTTCAATGGCAACGCCATCCCCTCCGAGTCTTTTGTTGTGCTGGACAACGAACAGAAAGTCTACCAGCGGATACACCACGAGGTGTGTGAGACACATGCTGATACAAGACTGAAAGACTCTCTTGCAGCCTCTGAAGTTTGCAGTGTTCATAACAACCCACATAACAGTGTTCTGACAGTGTTCTTTGCACAATCTGCCCACTAATTATTGAAATATCTTGTGTTGGATGCCTCTTTAGTTTCCTGACACTGTCCTGTATTTTCAGGAGTCCGAGATGGAGACAGAGGAGGAAGTGGACATACTGATGAGCAGCGACGTGTACTCCGCAACTCTCTCCACCAAGTCCATCACCTTCTCCAGGGCGCAGTCCGGCTGGCTGTTCAGAGAGGACAAGACGGTCGGTGGCTGTTGTTGTTTGGCCGTCCAAAATGTTTAACTAACCCATTAAAAGATGTAATAGGAGTTTGAGCTCCAACTAAATAAGGCTCCTAAAATCAAGAATCAAAGTCTTAAACCTGTGAGGGAAACCTTCTAGTGTAGCTTAAAAAAAAAAAAAATGCAGTGGCAGAGAAAATGGTTCAACATGAAAGTCCTCCCTGGCTACATGTTCTTATCGTGATGTTACTCCCACCACCACAGCTTTTCCAAAGCAGCTGTGGGTCACAGGGTTTCACCTAGATGTGTCATTTAGGGAATTGTTTGTAGCTTTGACCCAGACAGAAAGTTGGCAATTTCATCAATTGTCTGGATAAGGCAGGAGATGGAAGCTACACAGATAAATATCAGAATGTGTATTACAGATTATGTGTAACATCAGTTGCAATACATGATTCTTGGTGAACTCAAAAGGAACCCAGACTGTTGAACCCATAACAACATGTTTGACCTGAAAAACATTGACAATATAAAAGGCATAAAATATTAGGTCTGGTCTGGGAAGTGCTCTGACAATGTTCTAGATGTGCTGACTTGTAAAAATCAATGGAAAGAAAAACATACGGATCCCTGTACTCTCACTTTTTACTTTTACTTTTAAGCAATAATGCAGGCAAAGTAAATATAGCAGATAAATTAGCAGTAGTTTGACATGTCTGGACAGAATCCGACTCTTTTCTTTTGCTCCTTTTTCTTTTTCTTTCCATCTTTTATAGGTAAAACAATTTGGTCACCATTATATGTTATTAGCCTGACCTGTAAATGTTGTCTCTCTGTGCCTTTTTATATCTCACCCCAAAAGCATTCCTCTGTCAGCATATGACTCTTGTTTCAGAACCACAGTTCTGCTATTCTTTGCTATAGACTCTGTCCACTTCCCTGATCATATTTCCTGCACTACATCTCCCATACCAGGCAGCAAAGACGGTAAATAAATCAATGATAACCCCAGGAAGGAACCACAGGTGATAGGCTCAGAGTTGAACAACAACACAGGCAGGGCAGGGGCCACGAAGGTGGTGGATGAGTTATGAGGCTATTGCTTTCTGTCCTCTTGACATGTTCAAAAAGGAAATTGGTGAGTCAGCGGGGGGACTTATCTAACAGTTTCCTCTACCTCCCAGGAGCGCGTGGGAAACTTTCTGGCAGACTTTTACTCTGTGAACGGCCTGGTGCTCGAGTCCAGGAAGAGACGGGAACATCTGAGCGAGGAGGACATCTTGAGGAACAAAGCCATCATGGAGAGCCTGAGCAAAGGAGGGAATCTCATAGAGCAGAACTTTGAGGTGAGTGGGGCTTCTAATATGGCTGATGGTTACTTCATTTCAGCAGAGAGACTTCTACCAGAGGCTCAAATGTACAGCCTTAGACCACAATGCCCCCGCTATCATCACCCATGATTTGATTATTGGGGTTATCAGGCCCCATGAAGCATCACATCACAAACACTTATCATAGATTGTTACTTGACACCTGCATGTTGATAACATGTTACACCGGATCCAATGACTAACATCCACCTTGACATTCTTAAAAAAAGGCACAGAATCTTTACTGACTCAACATTTCCAGGAACTGTAGAACCAGAGGAACTAAAAGCCTCTTTGCTGTTTTCTTATTTGTGCTTCCTCAGAAGATTAGGCAAACTAGAGTCAGCCTGACTTAAACTTGCACTTTTTTTCTGTTGCCTTCGATTGGCCAAACTGTGACAGATAGTCACAGACATTGAGAATCTTTGTCTCACTTTGACTCACTGCAAGGTAAACCAAGTGGAGCGTGGCTCTGTCGATAAACATCCTGTTTACTTATGCCTGCAGCGTAACGTCCAGTCCAGTCCCGAAACTGTCCTGTCCCGCTGGAACCTTGGGGTAGGAAACGAGTCTCAGACAGAATAAACCTCACAGTTCTCACTACTGTGTCTGTACAAAAATCAATCCTGTAGAAACATCACGGAGATCCTGCCAGAACCTGTCAATAAACTGTGCATGGTGTATGGAAACATTCCTGTCGTAATGTTGTTTCTTTGATGTTTTATTTGTTTGGGACATGAAAACAGAATGAAAAGCTGCCCTCGATCTCTCACTGAGACAGTCTCCCCCCCCCCCCCCCCCCCCCTCCTCATCCACAATGCATGGACTTGAGTCCCAGCACAGCCACCTAGTGGCTACAAAGCTTCACATTCACAGGGATGACTCTACCACCCACCATCCCCTCACTATAGTACGTTCTAGAGTTTGCTTAGCAAGCTCTTGTCTTTACACTGACCATAAAGCCAGTCGCAAAGTCAAAGCCTCTCAACACTCAATGGGTGCCTTGTTAACTGGTTGTTTTTTGTCGACTCCCACTTGTTCTGTGCTGGGCTTTGTCTCTTCACAGTGTCCTCTGTTGCCTGTCGGTGTGTTTACACTCATTTAAATCAGTGCCCACTCATGTTTAAAGTGAAAAAGCCTGTAGTTTAGTGGGTCTTGGTGTCAATGTAGGAATAGTTTCTCCTTCCACCTCAGTGGAAAATGATACATGGAAAGTCTGTGACAGGGGGAAAGAAAAGCAGCAGCGGTGACGTAGCTTTGTTTACAGCAGTGAAGGAGAGCGGGTCAGATGTGCGCCTGTGGACACAGGGAAGCGTGGGGGGGCTTTTAAACAGGGCTTCACACTATTGATCAAATGGATGAGGGCTTAAACCCTCGGTGCAATGGAAGGGTGGGACCGGCATACCGGCAGATCTGTGTGTTCTCTGTCCTCGACACAACAACACGCCAGAGCTGATACGCACAGGGTGACGGCGAGCACTTGGCAAGGCCGCAGCCCACAGTGACAACAGCAAAACATCTGTGATGATTGCAGTGTAGGTGGGAACTAAGATATCGATATATCGTTTGTATTCACGCTACACACGGCTGACTCTTGGCACTGTCAGGTGTCTCATCATCCACGTTATTCTGCCCTAGTGCCTTATTTACTGCTCACAAAAGAGCGGTCAGCTGGTGTGGTTCAGTGTGAACATTGGCAAGAACAATGAGTTCATTTTAGCAGAAAGTACATTTTATGAGAAACAGGAACTAAGTTCTATTCAGGGTCAGTAAGAGCAGAACGTCCAAACTCTTAGTTTATTCAAGAAGGCAGAGGTGAAATAATTTTCCTTCGATTAGTTGATGAGAGCACAGAGCACAGTATTTTGAATGATTAATGAAAGGACAACAATCATATTTTTTTTTTTTTTTTAACCACTGGAAGCAAATCTTCCAATAAGGCTCAGAAAAACTGGCCCTGCTTTTATTTATGATTGGCTGATGATCTTTCAGTATCCTACAGTGTGCACTGCATCCTTTGGCTTATACATTTGTCCATGTTGGATTCTGATCATAATCATACTATGAGTACTTTTATCTTGTTGTTTCAGCAACGGTTTAACTATTTTTATCGTACATGTTCTGTTTGTCCCCCAAGTCGGGTGTTTGCTTTAGATGTTTTCTTAGTGCACTTAAGAAAAAAGAGAGTAAACAGAAAAAGAAGGTAAACTGTAACAAAAAAGTAAACTCATCAATTATTTGGAAAGTTTCCACCTCAGCAAATATTGATCTTGGCTGTAAATGAAGCCAACTGCAGCCTGAGATGATGTCTTCATTGCTTTTGTTTCATACGGTTTACAGCTGCTGTATATGTAGAAATCAAATCCTGTCGTGTGAATAGAAAAAGGCTTAAGAGCAGGAAACTAGATTAGACTGCACCCTGTGAAATAGTATCACGTCTCAGATATCAGATGTTTAGCGGTGGTGTTCTAAATTATAGTAATTCAGTTACTCTGAAAAGGCAAAACAGCGTCACAGGTTTAGTGATGCACTGGGGCCCTCTAGTGGCCTGTGCTGTGCATGGCGGCGCTCTGTGGGAACAAATCGATATGGACTGATGGATTAGAAAAAAGTGTTTCAATAATATTTAAGAGATTTCACTTTCTTAACTGAGGTCCTCGTGTGACTTTTGTCAAAGTTGCTGCTAAGCAGAAATTGGCAGCTGCATGTTTTACTAACTAACAGCCCATTGTAAATAAAAACCACCTGTGGACAAGCTTAATGTTTGAATATTCTTAGTTTAATCAGTAATCATTATGTTTGGTCTGACATCAGTGTGAATTTTAATCTCTGTGTTTATGTTCTTTTGTGTTTGTCCCTACAGTAGTTTAGTCTTTAGATCTGCCCTTAACATGTTGTGTTTGTTTTCTTTGTGCTCTTCAGCCGGCGAGGAGGCCATCTTTAACTGCCCCTTCACCCAACACGGTTTCCTGGGAAGAATACATTTCTGCTGACAATGGAAGGTAGGTTTTTCAGGGGACACCAGACCATTAAGGAAAAATAATGTTACAGTAATTCAATTTAAGATTAATCAAGATAAAATCCATTTTCAGTATTGACAAAAAAATACATGTGGGAGATTTCTGCATATTAACTAGCTGTAAACTCTTTATCATGAAATTCTAATCTGACAGGTTGTCATTTCTCTCTCTGCTCAGAGCTCCCCATCTAGGAAGAGAGCTGGTCTGCAAAGAGAGCAAGAAAAACTTCAAAGCCACGATAGCCATGAGTCAAGACTTCCCTCTGGGCATCGAATCGTGAGTCTTCTCTTTAACTTTGTATCCAGTTATTAAAAAGCAGGCAGCCATAATTCCCCCATCTTGGTTTCTGTGGTGATCAAAAGAGAAATCTCTGATATGTGCAAACCACAAAAACTATTTTATTGGAAATATTTTCTTTATATATCTGTTTTTGTTTTGTTTTTCTTATTACAGATTGTTTATGTATCAGCAATGTGTTACAGTTCTGTCCTGTGGGCTTCAAATGGTTGATATAATTGCATTTATATAAGCAACAAATGAGGTTGAATGAATACTGTTGAATTGAACATTGAAATAAACTATGACAAACTAATAAATCTAACAAATGATGCCGCTATCTAAGAACCTGTAAATTATGGCCAGTCAAATTTCCCTTATATGGTATTTATTTCAGCTATAACTTTAATTATTGTTAGTGTCTTCTCTACAACCATTGTGTTTGTTTTGTCAGGTTGTTGAATGTTCTGGAGGTGATTGCACCCTTCAAGCACTTTAATAAACTCAGGGAGTTTGTTCAGATGAAGCTCCCTCCTGGCTTTCCTGTCAAACTGGGTAAGTAGATGTAATTCCAAAAAGCATGCTGTGTAAGAGAGATAGGAGATTGAAAGGGACTTTTTTTTCATTTGATATTTAAAATATGGACAGAAATCTATCACAGGCGGGTATAACAAAATGAAACGTGATTCATAATTCTGCTCGTGTCTCCCTGCAGACATCCCTGTTTTTCCTACGATCACAGCCACCGTGACGTTTCAGGAGTTTCGCTATGATGAGTTTGATCAGTCCATTTTTACCATTCCCAACGACTATAAAGAAGACCCTAGCCGCTTCCCTGACCTTTAACCTCTTAAGCTGGAACAGGAAACAAATGTGCAACGAGGGAACATGATGCTACAAAATGTACTTTTCTAATTGAAAAAGGAAACATGGAGGAGAAAAAGAAAATAGTGGTAATTGTTCCTTGACAGTTTATGGATTTCTATCTTCCATCCCAACCCTGAACACAAACAGCAACAAGACAACCAGAGTTTGACATACAGGACTGAAATGCCATCATCAGAGCTGGTGGAGGCCCACTGTGGCAGAGAGGTCGAAATCTCCTGACAGTAACGAGGCGTTTTGAAGCGCAGTGTTGCAGGTTTTTACTTTAATCCAGCAGCTGAGGCAGGAAACTTGGAGCTGAGGGTCTGAAAGGCTCATCAGTGAGAAGGTAAAGTGAGTTTTTGTGTATATGGGGTATAAGCAGAACACAGACAGTCGGTTGATGCTATGTATTTAATTATGTAAGTAATGTTTATAAAGGGAATGTGTTTAACTGACCTGTAGTAAAGCACTGTGGGAGAGGAATTCCACCAAAAATGACTTTTTAGGTCCTTTTTCCTCCTAAAGTAGACTTTTAAAAATGTGGGATATTAGATCTGAGACATAAACTGTATATAATCTAATGCCCACCTGTTAGACAGGTGTGTATGAGAATAAAACCACTACTTTTTTTTTTTTTACACTCAATTCTTTAACAATATCACCCACAGATGTAATGCCACTTGAAATTCACAACATTGAAAATACATTTTGGAAAATGAAGTAGTGTCTTTTGTAGGCTAAAACCCTAAAAATCTGTTTTTGCAGAATTCCTTAAATTGTTTGTGAATGAGTGTGTTTGTGTGTAACATTGGGCATGGAGTTGCATCACTGAACTTTCGGGCACTAATAAGATCCATGACAGCCACTCTACATTCAGCTGAGTTCATAAACACTCATTTTGTGATACACCTTTAATCCTGAATTTGAAATATTATTGTTTAATTAAGGCAATGCTAGAAATACTGCAATTTTTATGGTACCACAAAGTCTTCTCTTAGTTTGTTGGCGTGTGAGCGTGTGTAGGTAATAATATCAAAGCCTTTTGTTTCTTACTACACCTTTTTAAACTGTACAATCATGCTAAAATAACTATGGATTGTATAGTGGGTACATATTAGGGAATGAATGAGTGACGACAACATTCATGCCATTTTTACACCATAACAAGAACCAGTACAGCACAGTATGTAAATACATGTTTTATTACCTATTGTCTTTTATGTTCTCTTTTATTATTCTTTGTGTTGGTGATTTTAAGATGTCCTCTACAAAAGGAACATTTGTGGATATTTGTTTTTTTTTTTTTTTTTTTTTTTTTTTTTTTTTTTTTTTTTTTTTTTTATAAATGTAGCATCATCACGAGTTTGTTGATTTTTTGACGTGGTGGCAGTTGCTATTTTTGTACATACTTGTAATGTTTTAAAGAAAAAAATGAATCTCTTAATTTTTCTGTCATTATTTCCCTTCCGACTATATCTGATAAACCTCATGAACCTCCTACAGGTGTGATTATCAAACAATCAACTTCACAGGGTGAAAAGCACAAAGCATCAGGCTTCCTCTGGAAACAAAGTTATTTGTTTGTAGCTGCTGCTATGGTTCATGAGCCCTTAATTATGTCGGTACCTACAAGTGTTGTGCTCATGTTTGTTGGTTAACTTGCCTGCTCCTGGAGTTTAAAATGGTGTACACAGATGTGGTGGCTCTGTTGTTAGAACAATTGACTTTTTTACATTGTTATTCAGTTTCAGTATAACGAAACGTACATTTAATGCATTTTATACATTAGTTACATTCCTCCGTATGGGCAAGTGCAGCTAACAAAACTGAAAGTGTGCCTCCTTACTGACATCGCTATACATTTCATTTCATGCTCCTTCCTGTGTTCAGCTGCTTGAATTTTCCATGTTTTAAGTAGGAAATATATCATTCATCTACATGTTTGTTGTACAGCAAAGACCGTTGTATAAGTCTGCAAAACTATTTTCATATAAAATGTACTAAAAATTAAAATTCCACATATCTGAAAGAGTTTTTGGACTCGTGTTTTTCACTATGATTTACTGTTTCTTATTAAAACCTTTTTAAAAAGATCATAAGACGTCATAGTATTCTATGAAAATGTCCCAAACAGGTCAATTTTATAGTATACCATAAATAATCAAAAAAAGTCATAGTATAGTATTTCATAAGAACGTCATAGTGTAGTATGCATGTCATAGAAATGTAAAACATGTTATTGTATATAGTATGCAACAAAAATGTCATTATGTATTATGACATGAAAATGTCGAAAAAAATAGTATGCCGTGAAAGATTATAACTGTCGTATGGCATAAAAAGCTCATGGTATAGAACACCACTGAGATTCATGTATGCCATAAACTACATTATAAAAAAGGTATAGTATGTATGCCATTAAAATTTGTATAAAAAGAATAATAGAATAGCATGCCATAAAAGACAATTAAAATATAATAATGTAGTAGGCCATAAAAAATATGAATGATATTGTTAAGAACAAAGTAAAAGTATAGAAAGTCAAATGACTGACTTATATCATAAAATGTACATGTTCCAACATGTAAACAATCTTCTGTCATAATTGTATGTTACAGTAATTCACTTTAAAAAAATATATATAGAGTATGTCATAAAAATGTCGAAATGTAATCGTATTACAGAGGTCTTCAACAGGGGGTCCGCGACCCCTAGGGGGTCTGCGGAGGTACTGCATGGGGTTATGATTATCATGCAATTGACAGACAATGTTGATATTGGCATTGGTATCAGCTGACGAGGTCTGTTTATAAATGGCAGTGGCACGGCCTCTCTGCTCACTGTACCTTGCACATGTTTAAAATAGAAACATGAATATATGAACCTGTGTATTATTTGAATAGCTTAGTATTGAATGTGCAATAAAAAGGTATGTTTATACATGGCACTAGGCCCAGTTTAATATAAAACACCATTTTATACAATATATATAGCCGGGGGTCCCTGCTCCATCTTTCTATCAGTTTGGGGATCCTTGGCCTGAAAAACATTGAAGACCCCTGTCGTATAGTATGTTGTAAAAAATGTCAAAAAACAAAATGTAATGAATTGAATTTGTTTATTTAATTAATTAATTATAATAAAAATATTATAAAAAAGGTCACAGTATGGTCTGTTCCCAAAATTGTGCAGTATAGTTTGTCTTAAAATGTCCAAAAAGTCATAGTATGTTTACAAAAAATAAGAGTGTAGTATATCCATAGCCAAAAATAATAATTATATAGCATCACATGAAGAAAAAGGTATT